AACCTAAACAAATAAGAAGAAAATTTCGCACCTCGTACACGCCTCGTCTCCATGAACTTAATCAAGCTTAAGAGCTTCAGTAAGAGTTCAAAATGCTCTAATTTTTTAATTTATTTAGTTCAGAAGGATTGAAGAGAAATCTTTTTTTTTTCTCGAGTAATGGTGTGGTGGACGGTAATTCGATGTCGGTCTCGATAATTTCAGATTCACCACTGTCTCGAACACCCGTTTGCACGTATTCGAGTCCTGCGTCCTTTCGGCTCGTCAGGATTTATCGTTCCATCTTTCGACGGCTGTGTACGCGAGTCTCGAGCAGTCGTAAGTCGTGGACGGTGCAATTCGTTACGTGGTTGCGCAGCATCTCCGTCGACGATAGTATTTATGGCACTGGATCGAGTGCACCACGTTGTATCGCATATTGCGCATAGGCGGAGGTCCTGCGAGAGTAATAGAGGCGCGCGTATCCCGTGGCTGATTAATAGGCAGAGACTTACAGGACTTTATGTCGCCGACGATCCGCAACCTAGTGAATCATTTCGATTCGAATCGAACTGCCGAGCACGAATATTATACATGCAAAAGGAAAAATGATGTTTGAAATAATAAATCATTTTGACCACTGCCTTAATTGTGCTTTAAAAGCAACTTGGAGATGGCAATCGGATAAGTGTTCTCTTCTAAAGCATAGCAAATGACTAACATTCAAAAAATCATTTTTATATTTCTATTTACTGATATTGAAAGTTTTATGAAATTTCTGTACACATTAAATTTGTTTTTGTAAAATCTGTGGCAATTTTCATTCAACAAGTTCCGTATTAACCTGAAAAATGTGTTCAATCTTTTCAAGGATACGAATACATGTATGTATGTGTAGTTTTCAACCAAATTTAAATAATTAAATTCAAATATTAACCTGATTTATACAACTTTTATTTCAATAATTTTTTATTTAAATACCGTAACGTAGTTGTACCCACTAAAATTTTCAACAAGTATTCATAATTAAATTCACGAATGAAGTGACTTGGCAACATAATTAGAAAATGGATAAATATTGGTTTGCATATTTATTTATTTTCAACAAAATAATCTACTTTAAGAACGCTCTAATGAAATTAACGTAAAAGAATCGATGAAGACCTCTATTTTATGTGAAAACCAATCAAATTATTTCAAAGTAATTCCTCGTTTGGACAAACTGTTCTAAATAGGATAATCTTGACTGTCAATCATAAAGCGTAATATTGCAAAGTAAAATTGTGATGCAGTATTTTTGTCTTCAAGTACAACAAGACTACAGTAATCGTTGAAAATGACGCTCTATCATATTTAGCACTTTGACGAAGAAAAAAAGAATGAATTCTGAAGGCGAGATGCTAGTGATACTGCGAAAATAAATATTACCACAAATGTTTCAGCCTCGTGACAATTTTCACGACTATTAATTATATTAGCCTGACGATCAACGTAAGGCATGCACGCAAAAAATCAACTTCTAACAGTTTCCGAAGCAGAATTGTTAAAACTTCTAAATTTGATGGTGCGAAAGTTATTTTCGAAATAAATTGTTCGATCATTTTGAAGAAAACATTAAGAAAATGCGTCGAAGATCCTTACGTGTGAATACGTATTGCAAGCGAAGGTGTGGGAGAAAGGATTCCTCGATTGTGTCGTTTTTCTACGCTTCATCTCGATAAACCGCAGGAATTGTGGACTCGCACCAGACCTTAGGAGATACGGTCTCTGATGTGCAACGAGATAAACACACGGAATAATATCTTCTGACAGGGGTCAACGTTCCGCAGGAATCGATACTCACGATTGCACTTCTAGAAATTCTCGTCTCTACCGTATCACCGAAGGTTGTAAGCTACCGTCGTTAGCGAGGGTCATTCCACTTTTGCACTCGATGACCGAGGTTATGTTGAAACTACGATAAAATGGTTTACACTACGTATGAAAATAGGGGAGGTTTAAGCCATCATTTTGTTGCTTCTGAAAGTGTTTAAAAGCCGCAACTTGTCAAAGATGGCAGCTTTATAAACTGACAAGTTGTATTATCGAAAAAATACGAATATTTCTAATGTTTTTACGTATCGAATCTAAAGTTGGTTGAAGAGAAGTTTTTTACTATTAAAACAAAAATAAATTAGAGCTCGTGCTTTTAACAATTATGGAGACAATAATTCTACTAAAAATTTAAAAAAAAAAAACTTCTTTTTTAATAAACGTCTTTCGTAAAAGTAAATAGAGCAGTCAGTTTGAAAAGTTTGTTTTTTTAAACGCAATTTAAATATTTAAAATGTTAAAAATAGCAAAATGATGACTCGAATTTCCCCCGTTTCTATTTGGACTGCAACCTGGTTTAATTTTAACAAAATCCACTCAGAGAATTATGTTTCAGCAACATAATTGAATAGAAAAAGGTTACCTGAAAGCATCAAGTCTTTTCAATTAAAACAGAAAAGTCAAGGTTCGTATATGAAACTTTATAAATTGTTGGACGTTCTTTACTCAAAGGAATATGATGGAACCCAGGCACTGGAATAAAGAACAATTCGCAGTTTATTTAACGAAAGTTGGTTACATGATGATGGAAAATTATAACAGATTGAGCGCCCCTATATCGCCAGTAATTTTTTTAATGCTTTTTTAATTATTAAATATGTTGCTCAAATTGATGACATCCAAGTCGGAGACAAACATTGCACTTATCGATGACAGAATGAGTGGCTGGTCGACATTGAACGTCTGTAACGTCTTCACATGCGTGCACTATCTTTCGTTTGAATGATTGAAGATCATTAATAGGCGCATCATACACTTCTTGTTTGAATGTACCCCACACAAGGAAGTCTGACGGCATTAAATCTGGCGTATCATTTACTGTATGCTTCTCTTTACAAACAAAAGCGTATCAATGATCTTCAAACCAAGGAAAGGGACATTTCGACATTATTCATTCTTACAATTCTGTAACTTTCGAAGTTACCCTTGAACGAAATGTTTGCGAGCATATTTCTAGAGGAAATTTTTCTTTGTTCTGGAATCCTAAATTCATCTTTCGAGTTTGGCCATTTAATCCAGGAACACCCTGTAGAATGCGAATATATATATTTGCAAAAATAATAGTCTGTCGAAAACTTAGTGTTCCTAACGATCAATGAAAACTGCCAACTTTATTTCAAGCGTCTAAAACATCAGAAATCGCAAAATGATGACTCAAATCTTCCCTATTATCACTTGTATCGCAACATATTCTAATTTTGCGCAAAACGGCCCGTAACTGTTCCGAAGACAACGAAATCTCACGAGGCACGAGAAGACATATGCGAAAGACGGAACGTTAGAAGCTTGTTCATTCACCGAACACATCGAATTCGATTTCCTTATTCCGCTCACGATAACGTTGATTTACGGTTTCGCTAAAAGAATCGATCGGCTTGGATCATTAAAGGCGTGTCGGAAATCAATGCTGTCGTAACTGTACACGCGGATAACCCGAGCTCGTGGGTATTCAAATCGTCATTCCGACACGTGTAACATCTAGCGAATGACCGCGGCCGCCGATCAAAAAAATCGAGGCCACGGATCGGTCTCGCGGGAAGGGCACGGCCAACGTGGAAATGGTTTTGATCCTGAACCATCGATGATGTGAGAATTATTCCAAGCAAGGTCAGGGGATTCGATAGTTAAGTCCTGCGACAGCCAACGACGGGGAAGGTTGGACGTGTGCCAACCAGGACGTAGGAGTAACTGTGCGGTTGCTTATCTTTGCCCGTTTATGCGAAATTCTCGACTGAGGAAATCCACGCCTCTCGTCCCAGAAAACGATGCGGATTACGTCACGCTGTATTATCCCGTTAAGATGAGAGGGCTCTCACGTGCCACCGGATACCGGTTCGCGATCGTTATTGGTTCGCCGTTTGGAAATCGAGGAATCGAACAGGGTCCTCTCCCTCATCCTCTGGTTAATTAGCCCCTTGTCATGCCGTTTATTCCGAGATAAAGACCAACGTTCGCTAAACGTATAAAAAACCACGATTGTAACAGTACTTTCATTGGGCACATTACCGCCGAGATTGTTTAGGGTTTAGCCATTATTTCTGTTAGCTGCTAACTTGAAACTTGACACCGCGTGCTCACCAGCGAGATTTATGTTTGGCCTGAAACTGTGACCACCGGACCAACTCGTGACATTCGTGTTTAATCCGGATGCGTGACCACGCGTGAGACTCGTTGAACTATAGCAAGGGGTTAAGCGCAATTGGCACCGCGTGTCAAACCTAGGCGGACAAACAACTCCAAACGATTTCATGATTATTTGATATACAGTACAGCTAATATAAAACGATTTAATACACAAATTGATATATGAAAATATCGTGTTTTAATATTTGACGTATCTTCGCATTTTAAAATACTTTTTTTTATAAAATAGTCTAACTTTGGAAATGCGTCTTTTTTTGTATTATTAGACTTGATTATAAATTCTTATAGCTTTCTTGAAGCGTTGACACCGCTGCAAACATGGAGGATATATTCCTGAAAATTGTTATACTAGAGAACAAAATATGTTTCTTACTATCAGAGGGAAGCAGAAAACCTCGTCGTTGAAACGTCTCATGAAAGCGTACGAGCATAAATTCTTTTTATTTTAATCATTGAACGATAATAGCTACCCACTACTTTCTTAACAAAAATGGAACCATTGAAAAATGCAGTTTAAAGCGTTAACATAGAACTTCATTACAACTTCAACGTCATCTATTCATGCCCTTTGTTAATATAGACTTAATGAGTATTATTTAAACATACCGTGTTTTTATTACTCACATTATAGTAATATAGAAATTCAAATAACGTCATGTTCTGTGAATAACGAAATGAATACCATAAACAATCATTGTCGCCTTTCAGTCGTCGCTAAGTTTTCGTGGCGACTGAAAGTTACGCCTCGAGTACAAAGGGGTACAATGTTTCCTTGTATGTTACAGACGAGCTAGACGCGAAACATGTGGATAGACCTGCGAACACTTGGCTTACTGGTAACACTGATTTCGACAACGTTCACGGACGCTGGTAAGAGGCTCGTTCGCTCGAGAACCTTAACATCCAATCGCTTCGGAATATTCATGGCCCGAGGTGGACTCTGCGCGAAAAATGCGCAACGAAGTCTTTTCATTTTAAAAAGCGCGCGAGCAATCTATTTTCTTGACACGTTCATTTACAGCCCTGCTCAGGGAAGCGCGTGACGCGCCTGCTGATCTTACGGAGCGTTGCTAGTATTTTTTACTTTCCTACGTCCCCGTCAAGAGTATGTTGTTGTTGTTGTTGCTGCCGACGTCGTCAAACTGGTTTCGCGCGGGTTGCACAGCCTTGAATGCATCGGTGGACGGTTCGGTGGCGAAAAAGTTAACGCGTTTGCTAATCTTGGTGGATAAATCTCTGCCCGGAGCATTCCGCTGTCAATTTCACCCGAGAAGAAAATAGATATGATCGTTACTTTGATCAAACGGCCACGATTTATGTTACATCGACACATCGAACTAGCCATGCTTACGCACATCGTAATTCGTCGAACCTTTTATGATTTTTAGGTCACCTCGACTATTATGGAAATCAACATAGTCAACGGCAAAATGATTTCGTGTGCACGGAGGAAGGATTTCATCCCGATCCTCGTGACTGTAGAGCGTATTACAGATGCGTCGATTGGGGCAACGGGAGTCCATTAACGACGTTTAAATTTGAGTGCGGCTACAATACGGTGTTCTCAAAGGACAGCGGCAACGTCTGTACTCACCCGAATGACAGCGGACGACCAGAGTGCGGGGGATACGATAACGAAATCGATTCGAATCTCCCCGACTCGCCGCAGACATCCTCCACACAATGGACAACGGAGGCAGTCGTTACCACCGCGCATTCAACGGCGCCGCCCACGACTACGACTCGGATTACAACCACAACCGGACGACCGCAAACATCGTACCAAACGACTACCAGCGGTACATCGACAACGCGCAGGCCTCCAGGAACAAGTGAGAATTCGGAGGATGCTGTTGGACAGGATACAGTTCAGTGCACCCGCGAAGGATTCCTCTCCGATCCGAATGACTGCAGGAAGTTCTACAGATGCGTCGACGAGGGATCCGGGAAATTTATAAAGTACGAGTTTACGTGCGGAACTGGAACGGTCTGGGATCCAGAAATTCAAGGGTGCAATCATGCTTGGGCGGTAACCCGAGAAGATTGCAGGGAAGGCTTAGAGCCGGGCGCCGGCGGTGTCGATAACAGTGGACAATGGAACGGAGATAACGGTGGACAATGGAATGGAGATACAGGAGATAACGGCGGACAATGGGATGGTGATACGGGTGATAACGGCGGACAATGGAACGGTGGTACAGGCAGCTCTGGTCAACCTGGAGATCCTAATGGTCAGCCTGGACAACCTGGTGATCCTAATGGCCAGCCAGGACAACCTGGTGATCCTAATGGACAATCTGGTAGACCTGGAACACCTGGAACACCTGGCACGCCTGGAACACCTGGCACACCAGGCACGCCTGGAACACCTGGAAGTCCAGGTAGCTCAGGTACATCTGGCACGCCTGCCACTTCTGGAACACCTGGTACTCCTGGAACACCTGGAACACCTGGAACACCTGGAACTCCGGGCACACCCGGTACAACAGGCACACCCGGTACTCCTGGTACGCCTGGTACACCCGGTACTCCTGGCACACCCGGTACTCCTGGCACACCCGGTACTTCGGGAACTCCTGGCACATCTGGCACTTCTGGCACGCCTGGCACCCCAGGAACTTCCGGCACACCCGGTACTTCTGGAACTCCTGGTACTCCTGGCACACCTGGCAGCCCGGGAATACCCGGAACATCAGGAACTCCTGGCACTCCTGGCACACCCGGTACTCCTAGTACGCCTGGTACTTCTGGAACTCCCGGCACTCCTGGCACACCCGGTACTCCTGGTACGCCTGGTACTTCTGGAACTCCCGGCACTCCTGGCACACCAGGGACCCCAGGAACACCCGGAACATCAGGAACTCCTGGTACTTCTGGTACTCCTGGTACACCTGGCACACCGGGTACTTCTGGCACACCTGGTACTTCTGGTACGCCAGGTACGCCTGGTACTCCTGGAACTCCCGGCACTCCTGGCACACCAGGCACTCCAGCAACACCCGGTACACCTGGAACATCAGGAACTCCTGGATCTCCTGGTACTCCTGGTACACCTGGAACATCAGGAACTCCTGGATCTCCTGGTACTCCTGGTACACCTGGAACATCAGGAACTCCTGGATCTCCTGGATCTCCTGGTACTCCTGGTACACCTGGTACACCTGGTACACCTGGTACTCCTGGTACACCCGGCACTCCTAGCACACCCGGTACTCCTGGTACGCCAGGTACTCCTGGCACTCCTGGCACTCCTGGTACTCCAGGTACGCCTGGTACTTCTGGAACTCCCGGCACTCCTGGCACACCAGGCACCCCAGCAACACCCGGTACACCTGGAACATCAGGAACTTCTGGTACACCCGGTACACCTGGCACATCCGGTACTCCTGGTACACCCGGTACTCCTGGTACACCCGGTACTCCTGGTACACCCGGTACTCCTAGCACACCCGGTACTCCTGGTACGCCAGGTACACCCGGTACATCAGGAACTCCTGGGACACCGGGCTCCCCAGGCACCCCAGCAACACCCGGTACACCTGGAACATCAGGAACTTCTGGATCTTCTGGTACTCCTGGTACACCTGGCACACCCGGTACTCCTGGTACACCCGGTACTCCTGGTACGCCAGGTACTCCTGGCACTCCTGGTACAGCCGGTACTCCAGGTACGCCTGGTACGTCTGGAACTCCCGGCACTCCTGGCACACCAGGCACCCCAGGAACTCCCGGTACACCCGGTACATCAGGAACTCCTGGGACACCGGGCTCTCCAGGCACTTCTGGAACTCCAGGCAGTCCTGGAACCCCAGGTTCTCCTGGATCTCCAGGAACCCCTGGTTCTTCAGGAACTCCTGGGAGTCCTGGAACCCCTGGTTCTCCAGGAACATCCGGGAGTCCTGGAACCCCTGGTTCTCCAGGAACATCCGGGAGTCCTGGAACCCCTGGTTCTCCAGGAACTCCAGGGAGTCCTGGAACCCCTGGATCTTCTGGAACCTCTGGCTCTCCTGGATCTCCAGGAACCCCTGGTTCCCCAGGATCTCCTGGAACGCCTGGTTCTCTGGGAAGTCCAGGCAGTCCTGGAACCCCTGGGTCTCCTGGATCTTCTGGAACCTCTGGCTCTCCTGGATCTGCAGGAACCCCTGGTTCTCCAGGAACACCTGGGTCCCCTGGTTCTCCAGGAACACCTGGGACTCCTGGTACTCCTGGTACTCCTGGTATTCCTGGCACGCCTGACTCCACCGAAAGTCCTGACAGTCCTAGCATTCCCAGTAGTCCTGGCACGCCTGGTACTCCAGGTACTCCTGGAACGCCTGGCTCTCCTGGCACATCTGGTACTTCAGGTACTCCTGGCACGCCTAATACCCCAGGCACTCCTGGCACACCCAGTAGACCTAGCACTCCTCCAGGTATTGTTGTTACAATCACTGCATGCAACACATTGAATATTGCTGACACTACAGATTTAATGTATGGTTTCAGCACCCGCCGACTCGACTCCAGGAACTTGTTCAGAGGAAGGATTCTTCCCTGATCCTAGAAATTGCCGTAAATTTTATCGTTGCGTTGGCAGCGATTCCAAATTTATCAAATACGAATTCGAATGCGGTGCCGGAACCGCTTGGGATTCAACCATTCAAAGTTGTAATCATGAATCGGAAGTGCCGAGTTGTAGGGGTGGTTCCAGCTCACCTGGTTCGCCGGACTCGAATGATCCATCTAGCAATGAAGTTGATGGCTCTACTAGTCAACCAGGTAGACCTCAAACAGAAACTAGCACTTCATCGTCGTCATCAGCACCGTCTTCGAGTAGCCCTGCACCTTCGACATCAACTGATCGTCCATCGACTGACGCATCTACAACCAGTTCAACAACTGTCACATCATCAAGTTCCCCAGCACAATCCTCAACAACTGATAGTCCGTCAACTGTTACATCTAGTACAACTACCACAACAAATCGTCCATCAAGTAGTCCAACAACGATCGGTTCGACAAACCCAATCACATCTAACTACCCTTCTGCGGATCAATCCAGCACAACTAGTCCTCAACCTACATCGTCTGATGTTACAGAACCCTCTAATACTGTTCCGTCTACTAATACTCCTGCATCAAACGAACAAACAAGACCGTCTCCTGGAACAACGCAATGCACGCAAGAAGGATTCTTCCCTGATCCTGAAAACTGCCACAAATTTTATCGCTGCGTTGGCGGCAACTCATCCTTTATCAAATACGAATTCGAGTGCGGTGCTGGAACTGCTTGGGATTCGACTGTCGAAAGCTGCAATCATGAATCTGCAGTGCCAAATTGTAGGAACAGTAGTCAGGATCCACCTAGTACTGAAATCGACGGCACTACCAGTCAACCAGCGACACCTCAAACCGAAACGAGCGCACCTTCATCGGCACCATCGTCGAGTAGTTCTGCACCTTCCACGTCAACTAGTCGTCCACAAACTACATCTACAACCAGTTCAACAACTGTCACACCATTAACTTCCCCAGCGCAATCCTCGTCAACTAGTCGTCCATCGACTAGCACATCGCCAACCAGTCCAGTAACTACTGCACCCTCCGACAGTTCCACGGCAATCACATCACCTCCTTCATCCACGGTTCAACAGACTACAGACAGTTCACAACCTACATCTTCGGATGTTTCAGAATCAATCTCCGATTCGCCTACCACAAGTAGCCCTGCTACCAGCCCACAAACGACCACCCAAAGTAATTCGCCTCCTGCCACGTCGCAATGTCCAGGAGAGGGTTTCCATCCGAATCCAAGCGACTGCACGAAGTTCTATCGTTGCGTGCGCGGTGAAAATGGTCTCCAAAGATACGACTTCGCATGCGGAGCCGGTACAGGTTGGGATCAGACTCTTCAGACCTGCAATTATATAAGCCAGGTGCCTTCCTGCTCGATGGAAAGCAACGAAATCGATCACGGACCCAGCTCGAGCACATCTTCCTCTGATTCAACATCGCCGATCACCAGCTCTCGTCCAGACGCTGCAACTAACACCGCATCAGATACTACGCAATCGACAGAGAGTTCAGGAACTTCGTCGACAACGGGTCCAGCTTCGAGTAGTTCGGGAAGACCAGCAGAAATACAAGAACCTGAATCCTCGAGTACAGAAAGTTCATCTCCTGCGCCTACGACCTCTGAATCGAGCGGTTCTTCGTCACCTTCCTCCACCGAGTCCAGTGTTCCTGACTGCACCACGAAGGCACCCAATAACACGATAGTATGCGATAACGAGGGTTTCTATCCGCATCCAACTCAGTGCGACAAATTCTATCGTTGCGTCGATAATGGAAACGGGTTCAACGTGTACCACTTCGATTGCCCACCTGGAACCATATTCGACCCCAGTATCAGCGTGTGCAACTACCCTGAGTCAGTTTACCCTGCCAGAGACTGCGCGATGCCTACATCTACACCTGCCAGCACTAGCCAGGATTCTGGGGAGTCCACGACTGAACAAATCTCCACTACCACCGGAAGCAGCGCGGAGTCCACCACAGAGTCTAGAGACACCGAACCTACGTCTACTGCAACTTCGACTACGGACTCCACATCCGAAGCTACCACAGAGCCAGTATCCGAAACAATTACCGAATCAGTCGCGACCACGGAGTCCACTACTGAAGCGACTACAGAGGTCACGTCCGAGGGGACTACAGAGTCTACGACCGAAGCGACTACCGAGTCTACCTCTGAAGCGACTACCGAATCTACGACTGAAGCAACTACCGAGTCTACGTCCGAGGCGACTACGGAATCCACGACTGAAGCAACAACCGAATCAACGTCTGAAGCAACTACCGAGTCTACGTCCGAGGCGACTACGGAATCCACGACTGAAGCGACGACAGAAACTACATCTGAAGCGTCTACAGAGACCACGTCTGAAGCCACGACCGAAGGAACCACGGAGTCCAGTACCGAGCAAACTACGGAATCCACTGAGACGACCTCCTCCACGAGTACTACCGAAGCAGCGGCAACGACAGAAGAAACATCAACAGCCAGTGCAGAGACATCGACTCCGTGTCCAATCGGAAACTTGACCGACGAGCAACTAGTCTTGGTCTGCCCCACTGGCTTCAGAAGGCATCCAAAGTATTGCAACCTGTTCTATCAATGCACCAACGAGGGTAACATGGAGATCAAGGTACTCGTGCTGAGTTGTCCAGAGGGTACGATCTTCGACGAACAGAAGATACAATGTTTGCCTGAGAACGAGAGCAGTCAGGCTTGCATGGGTACCAGAGCCGTTGGAAGGTTTTATAGAAGATTGGAGGAGAGTCCTGTAGCTCCTGTAAGTACCAACGATGCGTAAACGTAGATATCGAGTATACCTTTCGAGAAAATGAAAAAGAACGAAGATTGTTGATATTATTTTTTTTCTCCGTGAAAAAATACATACATGTGCCAAGTTTCGTGTTGACCGGTCAAACAGTTTCAATGTATCAATCATATACATATAAATATATATACAAACATCCATGTTTATATATATATGGATAGATAGATATACAAAAATTGAACATAAATAAAAATTTTTTTTGCTCTGTAAATATTATAATATGACCTTTACTTTCGTCGTTTTTTTTTTTATTCTTGCATATTGCATTTAGTAGTTCCTTGCACATTAAAATTTCCTATAAATGCATGAAGATCCGCAGGCTACCGATAACTTATGAAACTCGTCAGAATGCATGCGCTGATCAAATATATATTCTTTCGAGCTGATTTCACTGTAAAAATCCATTTCTCGCTAACGTCTATTTGATTCCAGGTGAAAGTGACGACTGAGAAGCTCTGTCCAGGAGAGGGACACTATCCTTACAGGCAAGGTTGCAGCAATGGGTTCTATAAATGCAAACGCGACTCGAGGAACAGCCTTCAAGGGTATTTGTACAAGTGTCCGCAGAACTTCTTATACTGGTCAGTTTCGAGGAGGTGCGAGCGCGCGACGCGTCTGCCAATGTGCACGCATCTGGCATACAGAACCAATAATTTTTGGGACAATCGATGGCAGATACCGGTCGAAGACTACAATCTGTCCGCCAGGAGTCTCCGCCTCTTCTGATCGATAAATCGTACTCATTTCGAATACGCTAAGAATTCTTCCAAAAGTTTGAAAGGACAGTGCAGCTCTCAGGTCAATTTCCGATGCTTGTCTTATTATTCTCGGAAACGGTAAGGGTGGAAGCGAGAGAAGCAAAGACAGTAGCTATCTTCTTTGGTAATTCAATTTCACGTGACTTGGGGCTATTGTACTTGATTTACTTAATTACCGGGTTATTTAAATACTGTCTACACCTTAGAAGAGGATTTTCTACATTGCTATGAATTAATCTGATATTAATTTCTACATACTAGGTTTACCGTAAGGCCTTATCTATTTCCTCAAATTGAACATTTTAAGTAGACAATTAATAGGTCACAGTTAATAGATCCTCGAAGATAAATACTGGAATTGAAAAACCTACGAATAGACTCCTGGTGGATAAAGTGTTAACACATTCATAACCATTGACATGAATTCACGTAATTTTGAATTCTATTCCTGGTTGCCGCTAATGTTAACTTTGCAAGTTCTGTTAGCTGCAGTGATACGTGTTACCATGGCATACTACAAAATTACTAATAAAAGAAAAGGAATAAGAGAGTGAAAGATAATTGCAATAATTTCGTTATTGTTTTACTTGAATGGCAAAAATTAATATAAAAGATATAATAGTTATATTTTGATATTTCAGTAGTTCCACATTTGAACTTTCAAATGATTGTAAAATTTACAAAATTACTGATTTGATATACTCACCTTGAAGGTAGAAGTTTATGGCAACCAGAGTTTCGGAATTTCTTTATTTTCGCTGATCGTGAATGTGTCAATTGTTAGTTGGTAAACAAATCTATCCGCAACATGGCTGCCAAAAATCCCGCGAAAAGAAGACACGTACGGATCTTCGGCAGCTATCTTGTCGTGCTTCACGATCGATCGAAATGGCAACGACAGTTACTATGTCGATTGCTTAAGCTCGATCGATTTACATGTAAAAAGTCGTTGACAACTGATCGGGGAATTGGTCTTTTCCGTGATTTTTCTAAGCGTAAGCGACAAAAATCGCTGGAAAACCATATATCGCGAACATTGGGGATTTTGGTTGCGGGACTCGTATGCAATATGCAACTGTATTCAATAATTTATATCGTGTATGTATTTATTGAGCTAGCCACGCTCGGCGTCTGCGTGCTCGTGTAACTTTTTTGTTACTCTTAAAGGGTTTCCTTTTCAAATATTTTGTGTCGTATTGAATTGTGCGTGCATGTATAGAATTCGACGAATGCAAAGTAATCGTTCACGTGGATTAGAAAATTACAAGTATACAGATGGGAAATTTACGAACGTACAGAAGTTGATCGAAAGTACGACCTTGATTTTATTAACATTAGAACTACCAATCAAGTTCATTAGGCCTATGTTGTCGAACTTCTTTTTAAAATTACTCAGTTATCGACAATACTTTTGCAACTCTTCAAATTATATCGAAACGTTGATTTGCTACTTCTCTCTCTCTAATTTTAAAGATACAGTTATATGCTTAACAACTATAGCTCGTCCTCGGTAGTTCTAGTGTTAAATTTAATTATGCTCAAAGTTTGCGTTAGAAGAGTATTATACAGCCTCAGCGCCACATTCTGAATACAGTACAAAGTATCAGTAGCCTTTGACATGATAATCGTGTACATAATTGCAATCTAATGATTCTAATCGATGCTTCTTTTATGTAAGACGCTACCATTAATATAGTTTAATGCTTAATGGCGTATTATATCGTTTAAGATGTTTTTCTTTTAAAAAAAGAAAAACTATTCGTTCGAAACGTTCTTAAATAACTTAGGATAGTTGCGGAATACTATTAGTATAATCATCGAATATGTATAAATACCGAGTGTGTTTGTATTAGATCTCTGTGCGAACTGATATTAATAAACGATAAGATCCTCGATGAAGAGTATTTAAAATCTATCCATACATCCTCGCGACGGTTTTGAAGAATACGATCCTACACAAAGAACATCTTTGAAAATGAGATACATTGAAATATTACAAATTTTTTAATTTTAAATTGAAGTATTAATAGAAAAAAAATATTTAAATTAATATTTCAGTTATCTATAATATATCAAGTAATATTTTATAAAGTTATTATTGCCCTCTTGGTACTGTTATTTATTGTAAAATAATTAAATAAATAAAAATACCGAAACATGTGGCGCCATCTCTCGGCGAATCGCTCAAGTTTATCGAGAAATAGTTCCCACTCTGAGCCGCTAGATGTCGCAACCGACATGAAACTATTCGAAACATAAATTTTCTACTTTCTCTGCATATAAATGTTACATTATAACATAATTAACATAATTCAACATGTAATTGTTGATTTGTACACTAATAATTGTCTAAGAACTAGTTTCTTTAATAAATACTAATACCGAAACATGTGACGACATCTAGTAGCCTGAGGTGGGAACTATTTCACTACAAACTTGAGAGGTTCACCAGAGATGGCGCAACATTTTTTGATATTTTTATTTATTTAAAAAACTTAATATCAATCAATTATTAGTGTTCAAATCAACAATTTGATGTTAATTCTGATAGCTACGATGTAAAATTATATGAATCTGCAGAAAAAAGTGTGTAATTATTAACAATTATACGGCTGCTCATTCCTCTGGAGCAATGATGCATTTCATTCATTAGTAATCTTTTGATATTGTCGAGTCAAAAAGAAAAATGCTTCGTGTGTAAACAGTTAAATAAATAGTATTCCACGCATTCGTAACAACAAAGAATAAAACAAAGAATCGTATTAATTATACATTTATAAAAAATAAAGAATAATTAATTAAATGATATCAGTGGAGCTATGTTACCGTAAAGGTTGGAACTATTTTCACTACAAACTTGGGCGTTCTCCCACCGATGGCGCCACTAACCGAGTCGTAACTTATGGCAGCATTGAATAATTATTTATAAAAATGATACATTTGATATATTAACTAATATATTGTAGTGCTATAAAGCAAAGAATATTGTATCATATTAAATAGTATGCAACTGATAATGCCATTTGGTCTTACTGGTGACGTGCAGTTACCAATTACATACTTAAATAATATAGAGGGTCCAGGTCTCACCACGTGGAGGTTACTGCATATGGAGACCCAAAAAAATTGCATACTATTTAATATGAGCTAATGACTGTAAGTTAGGATCGCGCGTTAATTAACACAGGTGCACGTAATTTTATTTAGAGTTGCGAATAATAAAAAGCGCCCCGTGTGGCTGCTCTTGTGAGTAATGTGAGTTTTTCCATTTTGTATTTTACAAATCGATGTTGCTAATGCACCTCGCGATCGTTTCTCAATATTTGTTCAATTAACATTCTTTAAAATTAACATTGCGAATAATGAAGTGTGATGTCTACTAGCGCCGCGTGGATTTATCTCTTCAACTAAAAACGTGGTTTCCATTTCCCCACATCTGCGCTTGGTCTCCCTGGTTTGGAGTAGTAATGGTGGTACCTATCTATTGATGGTTGTCAAACTTAATTTCAAGACCTAATTGTCAAGAACGAGACATTATAAAAAGTCCAAGTAAGCAGAAATACTATAAATAAGAGGGGATTGTTGTCGGTGGAGCAAAATGTTTCGTAGCACGGGTAACTTTGACAAATTATTAGGTAGGTTTTACTAACAATACCCGACAGTCAAAATGTCCGACTTTCAGGAATCAGAATTTTGATTAAATTTCTTACAGATAAAGCGACGAGTCATTTTCAGCTTGAACCTGATTGGGTTGCGATTCTCCAGATTTGTGATTTAATACGTCAGGGGGATGTACAGTGAGTGCATAGTATCATTTGAGTTGAAACTAACCTCTTTGTTTCTCAGTAATTATGAAAAGATTGACGTTTCTATAGTGCTTGTACTCGTTTGTACTCATTGATTAATTTTATGCGTCTTCCTTATGTTTAGTAAAACTTCACTAGCATTTGTTAACTCTTTACTGGTTTACCTCTTAATTCCTACTCCTTAATTATAATAAAAAATGAATTTGAACAATGTTTCACAATTACATAATTAGTTTTAATTTTTAAATGACTCAAATATTATGTTTTGTGTGTATATAGACCTAAAGCAGCACTTGCAGCAATAAAGAAGAAAGTGACCAATCCTAATCCGCACGTGGCTTTATATGCGCTATTGGTGAGAAATAATAACTAATTATTTTAATAAATAACTTATTATTAAGATTACCTATCCCAAATGAAGACATTTTTTCGATATAGGTTTTAGAATCTTGTGTTAAAAATTGTGGTGCATTTATTCACGATGAAATTGGTACGAAACAATATATGGAACAACTTAAAGACCTAGTGAAGACAACAACGCATGACAACGTTAAACTCAAAACCTTAGAATTAATTCAAACCTGGGCACATGCATTTCGAAATAGTCCTAAGTATAGAGCAGTGCAAGTATGTCTATTAATTCTTCTCTATTTTTATTAATGCTATACGTTAATATTGATTAAAACTGTATATTTTAGGATACACTTAATATTATGAAAGCAGAAGGACATAAATTTCCTGCTTTGAAAGAAAGCGATGCAATGTTTATTGCTGATACTGCTCCAGAGTGGGCGGATGGTGATGTATGTCATCGCTGTAGAGTGCAGTTTGGAGTTATGCAAAGAAAACATCACTGTAGAGCTTGTGGCCAAGTATTTTGTCAAATGTGTTCAAGTAAAGTATCTACTTTACCTAAGTTTGGGATTGAAAAGGGAGTTCGAGTTTGTGAAACATGTTATGATCAGCTCAATAAGTAAGTACGAATTTGTTTCTATCCTACATTGTTCTTAAGTTTATTTTTCATTTGTACAATTTATTTCTATAGACCATCAACAATACAAAATAAAGAAGTAGATTTACCAGCTGAATATTTGAACAGTTCGTTAGCACAACAACAGCAGGTAGACAATCTTTATAAAGAATGTTAACTGTAAAATTAAACATTAATATGTACAAAAACTACGAATTTTTTATTTCATCTTTTATTAGGTGCCACCTAGGAAAACTGCAGCAGAACTTCAAGAAGAAGAAGAATTAAACCTTGCTATCGCTTTAAGTCAAAGTGAAGCAGAACACAAAGAAAAGGAAAAGAAACGGGTCACTAGCAGTGTTTTAAAATCAAATACAAACACTATGAATAGAACAACATATTCTCCGCCACCATCTCCTGTTAGTATTTAGAAAATTTTACATTTCATTGAGATATTAGTTCATTTTCACTTTACAGGGCCCTAGTCCATCAAAATTACAAGAAGAAGAAGAGATTGAACCTGAACTCGCAAAGTATTTAAATCGCAAATATTGGGAACAGAGACAAACTGTGATAGAAGAACATGCTTCTAGAGCAGATGTTACCAGCCCTTCGGCTCCTAACATTAGTAGTCCAATGCCAGGAAAAATTATAGTTGCAAAACAGCAAAATGGAGAAGTTGACAGCCAAATGGAAGAGTTTGTTAATGCATTGCGTTCTCAAGTTGAAATATTTGTGAATAGAATGAAGAGCAATTCATCGAGAGGAAGATCAATTGCCAATGATAGTTCTGTTCAAACTCTATTTTTAAATATCACTGCTATGCATTCAAGGTTAGTTCTGAACTACATTCAAAATTGATGTGAAATGTGTAAAATATATGTACTCAATTAAAACTTGCGAATTTTCTATAGATTATTAAGATACATTCAAGAACAAGATGACAGTAGGGTATATTACGAAGGTCTTCAAGATAAATTGACACAAATGAAGGATGCCAGGGCTGCCTTAGATGCTTTACGAGATGAACATAGAGAAAAATTAAGGCGACAAGCAGAAGAAGCTGAAAGGAAAAAGCAAATGTTGATGGCTCAAAAGTTGGCAATTATGAGGAAGAAAAAACAAGAATATTTGCAATACCAACGTCAGCTTGCTTTACAAAAAATTCAAGAACAAGAGAGAGAAATGCAAATGAGACAAGAGCAACAAAAGCAGCAGTACATAATGGGTAAGCAGTACATATGTCTGATATGATATTTCAAGATGATTTTCGTTCTATTACATCAATTTTAGGTGGTTATCAAGCAGTTTCTGGCTTTATTGGTCCATCTCAAGGTTCCCCTGTTCGTCATGTTCAATATCAAGGACCTGGATCTAACTATAATCCTATGTCTCCTACGAATCAAGGATACATGTATGGGCAACCTTCTGTGAAACAGTATCCTATGCAAGGCTATAGTATGCCACAGATGAATGCAATACCGCCACATATGATGGGTCCATTACCTAATCAAGAGCAACAGCCAACTGATCCATCTGTTCAAGGACACGAAGCCATGGGAAGAGTTACTGTTTCTGGTCCCGGAATGGTGAATGCATTAAACAAATTTGTATATATGCTTCATGCTAGTATTTCTTAACTATTTTTTACATCATTTAAAACATTACGGTGTATATATTACATTTTATTTTATTATTTTTTGTTTACATTACTTTCAAAGATGTCTCAAATGACAAATCCCATGCCGCAACTGCAACAGACAGGTGGACATCAAATGGGACCGCCGCCACCTCAGCAAGGTCCACCAAGTCATATGACGCAATCACAGCCTACATCAGGACATATACCACCGCAGCAAGGAGTGCCTCCGCAAATGCCGCAGCAGGGACCACCAGGTCAAATAGGTATACTTCAAAGCCACATGGGTCCTCCGCCTGCTCAAGTCGGACCTGGAGCACATGGTCCACCAGGTCAAGTCGTTGGCCTTCCACATCAAATAGGACCACAACAACCATCTACGTTACCAGGCCCCCAGGGACCTTCAATTCAGCCTCACGTTTCAAACACTCCTATTTCGTCCCAAGGTTCAGGAACCATTCCACCATCTTCAAGAACTGTTGGACCAATTTTGACATCAAATCAGACGATGCAAGGTCCTCAGGGACCTGCTGGTTTACCAACGATGGAAGGCATGCCTCAAATCCCAGTGTCTCAGGGACAACAGTTACAATTCCAACCAGCAGCATCTCTGCCACCTACATCAAATGAATCTGTACAAGTTAAAGAAGATTCTAAGCCTGAAACAGCAGAGCTTATTTCCTTTGATTGAAAAAAATTATATGCGGATAAATATTAATCGGTAATTAAAAGTGCATTTAATGCTAGTTTTTTAATTATAAATTTTCATTTTATATTGGCATTGATTATTTTAATTTTACTCGTAGAATTTGTTATAAGCTTTATCTAATCGACAAAAACTCATTTTTTAAATTTATTAATATAGTTAAAAAGAAATTAATTATATTGGTGATATCTAATGTATTTAGTACACATTCGTTAGGGCAAATTTCATATACGTTGTGCAATTTTCTAATAAGCAATAAAATATTATTTAGATTACGTTATTAATTTCAGAGTAAATACATATACATATATTTTATAGTGTCCAGTGTAGGAGTCCTAATTATCGTAAAACGATAAACCCGAAGCGTTAACAGAAAGGAGACAGTGTTGATATTTATTTTAAGTTCTAGAAATTGCTAATACACGTAATGTACAAAGTGAAGTAGCTAACATGTTATAAAACAATAATGCTCAAATATTTGTCGATACAAATAAATGTTTCAAGTAAAAGTTAAAAGATCCGAAGGGGAAAACGAAGGAAAACTCCTATTTAAAGCTTTTTATTACCATAAATGACGTTGTATGACAGCCTATTAAACTCGTCTCAACGTCAGCATTCCTAATGTGGAAAAAATCCTATGGTTACATTTAAACAAAAACGGTGACCCTGACACAGCCTCAGCACCTGTATCAAAACAAAAAATAGCAATCTCGTTTGATAATTCTCTTCGAATCTTCTAACTTTTACCTGCAAAGTTTTTTTTGTATCGACGATTGTTTGAGCATTATTGCTTTGTAACGCGTTAGTTGCTCCATCCTGTATACACATTTTAAATACAGGATTTTTTTGCATAATTGCTAATGAAAGTTCTTTGTAATGTTTAACTAACAGAAACAAACTTCCACTACATATAGATATGTATGTTAGATGAAAATGTATATACAAAATACTTATACGTTACATAGTATAGAGGAACAAAAGAAAATTAGTTTCGCCAATACCTGACCTTTTGTCAAATATAATGTACCTTGTTTTCTCACAAGATTAATTATAAGATGTTAACTCCTCTATTAAAAGTATCATGAAACATGAGATTTTTTCGGGGGATTGTTTATAAAGTAACCTGTAGTAAAATCCTTTATTACACAGATCAAAGACGTTTTCCATTAACTCAATACCGCATATACATTCCCAGATTTTTTAAATTGTCTAAACAAAATTTGTATTTGAACTATGTGTTCTTATTTTTAAAATCTGTCCCCAACAATCATACTGTTTCCACTTGACCCTTCCTACGCGGTTTCACTTCTTGTGGGCAGGTAAACGATGTCTCTTCAGAATGTTTTCTGATCACAGTTGATGGTTCGCCATTAGTTGAACAAGCAGAAATTTGACCTTCTTGCTTCTCCTGACATATGTGTGATGCGGTCAATCCATTGGATGTTAAAGATGCTTTTCGAAGTCGCATGTCTTCCAACGGAATTTCTTCGCTCCGTGGCCTTGGCATCTTTGGTGAACTATCTCGGGATTGCAAACCATTTTCTTGACTCTTCTCATTTGGGCTATTATCACCACGTTTGGAAGTTGACGACAGATCAACGGCGGTAGGTCTTACGTTTTCTCTACGCATTTGTGCCGCGAATCCAGGTACTTTGTTTACTGTAAACATTGGCCGTGGTTGATCTTTCTGTCTTTGACCACGACCAATTCCTAGAATGAAATAGACAAGCGTTATCAATGTCATGTTCCTTCAATGCAAAATCGACATTTTTCGTCATTTTTTTTTACGTTTTTTTACTTTTTACAACTTGAATTTTCAATTGAAAAAATCTGAACAAATTTTGAAACATGTGCCTCGGTAACTAAAATGTCTGATCTTTTTCAAAAATTGTCATGGTATAGGATGAGAGAAATTGGTCGAAACGGTGATTTCCACTTTTTCCTATTTACTACCCACCAGCTGAGATAGGGACATGAAACTTGGCACAGATAATTTAATTAGTCTTTCTTGATAAGCTATTGAATCGAAAATCGCAAATCGAAATCAGTCAAAGGATACTTTTAAACCTCCTAACTGGCTATAACCTTTCGTAATGTTACTTACGTTCATGTCGTAAACCGCGTAGAGCATAATTTGGTGGCGTGGAAGAGTGAGGCATGCTTGTTGGAATGTCAAGTAGTCTTGCGATTTGATTCATTTTTTTCTGCCGTGCTTTTATTCTTCCTTTGGTTAGCCTTCGATCAAAAAGAAATTTAATAACTGATACATAATAATTATCTCGCGACAACTTACCTTTGTTTTGCAGCCATACATCTAATGTGATCGTCAAAGATAAATTTTGTTGATAACAAAGGAACTCGGTTGCCAATGCTACTACTTAAAGGTTTGTAAATTGTTAAATGTAGACATCTAGAATCATCTTTATCACCCGCGACCTCGATATCTTGTAAAAAACCAACCAATTTTGCCACTCCCCAACCGAGTTTACTAGTATCAGGTTCCACCAGAATTAATTGCACAACATCGATAACTAAGAAACGCCGAATCTTTTGACCGTCTTTCCACACAACCGTACACGCGATCAAGTCGCTATTATCTATTCGAAAGTGCAATACAAATTAAGTATTTGTAAATACCTAGGTATCTTATATATAATTAAATAATATGCTAAAATAGAATAACTTTTACTTAGATCAAGGACATTGTCAACTTGAACACAATTAGCTGGATTTGTAAGGGGCAATTGTGTTTCCACTTCCATGTTAAGCGTCAGAGAGAGTTCTCTTATTAAAAAAAATACTCTTATAGCGCGTCGTACCCTTTCCACCTGTGCAACCATTAATTTTACGTTCTGTTAGTTAGTTTAACAAATTATATTCTTTTAATAGCACAAGTTATACAATAGAGAAATTTGTATATTATGTACTTACTCCACCACATGGTAACCTTTTAGTAAATTCAATTCCAGTCATCGGTGTTCCCGTTGGTGGTAATAAAATATTACTGTCCATCATTAACCATTCAACGTTTAAAGGTCGTTTTTGAATTTCACTGTATTCATCCTCAAACATATCTAAGAATATGTCTTCGCTCTAAAAGTATGATAAAACTAACTTTCTTTATCATCAAGTTTCTTTACTCCTAATGTAGACAGAATTAGAGAAAGAAGCTCTAATGTAGAAATTATTTCTCCTAACACACCTTATAAAAACTTTTTAACAACCACGTGCTTTGCTCTTTAACCGCTTCGATCGCTTCCAAATGTGAATCTTTTAACATGGAATGTCCTTCCGACATTGCCAATTGTGTTAATAATTTAATTGCCAATTCCAATGTAATGAGCCTTACTTTCGAATCTAATCAAAATATAATTCGTATTAACGTTTATTATTATTTGGAAAATTAAAGGAGTAATTCTAGAAACTGACTTACATGTATGACAACTTAACGTTATGATATTAATTAGTCTATCTATTAAAATTCCATTATATAAACTTGTAGTATTTCGTGAATTGAATAAAATTGGGTCCAAGGTTTTACGTTCTACACCCTTAAAAAATGACTCAATTAGAATAAATGCATCGTGTCATAGTATCCAGTATTTCCAAAGTATGCTGCTTACCTGATTGTTAGCTAGAGCATAAAGTAAACACAATCCAAATAATGCAGCATAATCGTTTTCTGTGCAAAATAAAGAATTTAGGATTGTTTCTAAAAATGGCTTATTCGTCAATGATTCATTTACAGTTTGTTGTATCTGAGGTGCTAAGGGGCTTTCCAGTGCCAATCTTTGTTCTTTTTCTTCATCAGTTATATTTAAATGTTTCATTTCTTCCAAATCTTCATTTGGAATGCTATTTTCCTGTTGTTCTGGACTCGATAGTATGGTAGAATTTCCCATTGAAGCAGTATCAAATGATGTACTGGGATGGTTTATTTCTGATGTTTCTTTAGCCTCACTTTCAGTATTATCCGTTCTTTCATCTAAATTACTTTCTTCTCCTTTTTCTTCTTCTTCTTCTTCATCATCATCTTGTTCTTCTACTTCTTCTTCGCAAAGTTCATCCAACACGCTTAAGGTCTCACTTAAATTTTCAAGAGACTTTTCTAAACTCTCTCTTGGTGGTGAAAACGCAATAGGTTTATTTGGTATAATGTCACCATATATTTCAAGCACTTTGCTTGCTCCTGTTTGAATTGTTTCTAAGTCTGACAGTAGCATTACTGCTGCTAGTGTATGTACAAGTGGTCCATGAGAAACTATTAGAAATACTTGAGAGAGTAGAAATAAAGCTACTACTACGCTTATATGTTTTCTCTCTTCCTATCAATAAAAAAAAATTACTATTACATGAAATAACCAGAAATGTATTAATCGAAAACGTACCTGATTTTGGCACAAAAGATCTTTATGTCTCATGAGCGAATAAACATATAGTGGAACTAATAATTTGTGAAGTAGATGATCCGATAAAACTTTATTCAAATCAGATATATTTAAACACAGTATATCGTTTAAATAGTGTAAATGATCTAAGTGCTCTGCTACTAGATCTGATAATCTGTTTTGACTTTGATGACTGAAACATATACATATATACAGAGAAAAATTTATTTTTAAAATAGTTATTGTATTTAAATGTCTTAGTAACATTTTACTTACTCTGCATCATTTCTGACACAAGTGTCAAGCTCTATAATGTGATTACCAATAAACCATACAAGATTACTGAAATAAGGTGCAGCAGTGCGATCTCTTATAAATGCTAACATGGAGGCATCTTCTACACGATACACATTTAAAGTTAAGGTTCGCACTGCTATACGAACCATACCTTCGGAGTGGTTAAAAAATTTAATTGCTTCCGTATACAATGGAAAATCATTGGTGTGCTGATAAAAAAAAACCAAATTAAACAATATCCTTTTTTGTACGTGTGTTTTGTGCAAAATTCAAGTAATGACGATGAAACAATGATCACAGTAAGAAGCGTATTATGAATCAATTGAATTATACATACATTCAAAGCTTATAATATTAGATTACAATAACAAACATTAGGCAGTATTGTTAAAATTAATGAGCATGAAATTAGCTAAAGTGAAAAAATAGACACAGAAGATTATTACGTGTACCTCGTTTACCTCATTATAGAAGAAATGAATGGTGTGTGCATTTAACTTCAAACTTAATGTCTTTAAGAAACTGATATAATATGCCATCACTTCTTCATCACTGAAGTCAAATTTGTGCACTATTATACTGTTTACATGATTATTACTAAGTAAGTAATCTAAAAAAAAAGACATTATAATTGAATTACTATACTAAACACCAGAAGCTGAAATATAACATTGTGCTACTTGGGAACTTACACAAAGAAGTCTCATTACGTATATTCTCAAACAATATGTTTAGGGTCTGTAGCAATTGAACACATACATAGCTTCCACATTTTTGTTTCATAATACGTAGAAAGAATGAAAGCATATTTTTCTCCAAGAAAAAACTAAGAATAGAAGATAATGCTGTTAATAGTTGATCCTCACTAGCATTAAAAAGATGTTCATTGCTTAGTCAATGCTTGTGCTATATTCAAAACACATTAAGCAGAATGTTTTCTTCAATTTCTTCAATTCATGTTTAAAACTATGTTATAATATTTCCTGTTAAACACAAGCATTGCTTAAGTGTTGCATCCACTAACTGCTAATGGTAATCGAATTTGATCACTACATAAAATTTAAAATTGACTAGATAATTACTATATTAATTATGCTTACTCAAATACGCTACTATCATTTTGGTCACCCCATATTAAAATTTCAGCTATAGAACGCAGAGTTTCTACCAATAAGCCCCTATTATTTTCAGACACAGTCTGATTCTTCGATAAGACATTGTACAGATACCTGTATATAACAAGAAAGAATATAGAAAATTTAATGGTGTTAAATATGTATATATACATACTTAAGGTGCTCCAAAGAATGAGGATTTTTGGGTTTCCAGAGCCCTCCTCCAAACCAGCTTCGACTTCGAAACATTGTTTAATATTGCGACTTCATTTGGGTGGTGCCTTGCATCAAACTCATGTTTAGTTTCCTTTTTATCGTTATAGAAATATAAACGACATTTGTTATTGTTATTAAAATTACAGGAAATTCCTTGTATTAGTTCGTATTTATTGATACTTTTGTCAACGTTTAAAAAAATGTCCGAAATAGTAATAAAAGTCAACACATCGTTCAGGTTAGATTTCTTGTTTGTACACGGTTCGCTCGTATCATTGTTCTAACTATTAAACATCGTATTGCACGTAAACCCGTGTTTACTTTTTGTACATGTTCTTCGAATCGCACCATGTATCAATTTTTGTTGCAGTGTTTGATCACATATTACGTACATAGAATTTTACACGACGCAAAACGATACCTACGCTCCATTACTGAACGGACTATGGAATCACATGTTAGGTTAGTTCATTGTCGTTTATTGTCAATATTTATATTTTACGAAAGCTTTGTATTAAAAAATGTATCATTCTTAAAAAAACATTTGCATTTGTAAATCGATAGATTTCGTGGATTTACGTATACGTACGAACGAAGATCGAAGGCAAATAAGGAACGCATTCCAATAGGATTGGAAGATAGATTAGTGTGTTGACAACTAAGAAGTACATGCCAGACTAATTATATTTAGGAAATCTCAAATGAATCATTAATGATGAGAGTATTAGAATTATATAGTGGTATCGGCGGAATGCATTGTGCACTTCAAGGTGAGATATCGCAATATTACTCATTGCTTTTGTATTGTTTAAGTAAGCTTAACCTATATATTCTAGTATAGCTTTTTTTATTAATTATGAAATAAAATATAAAATTGTAATACTAGAAGTTTTGTATTTTCAGAAAGTGGGGTTAATGGTAGCGTTGTTGCAGCAGTCGAAATAAATCCTATCGCGAATGATGTATACAAGAGCAATTTTCCAAATGTTTTACTTATGAATCGCAATGTTCAGTCATTTTCAGTGAAAGAGATAAACAAGTTGAATATAGATACTATACTAATGAGTCCTCCATGTCAACCTTATACAAGAGTAGGACTTCAAAAAGATGTGTTGGATAACAGGTCGTCTTCATTATTTCATGTTCTTGAACTTATACCTCAAATAAAAACATTAAAGTTTATATTACTTGAAAATGTTAAAGGATTTGAGAAGTCTGAAATGAGAAATGCAGTATTAAAATGTATCAACAACTGTGATTTTAATTATAAAGAATTAATCGTAAGCCCATGTCAATTTGGTATTCCAAATACTAGACACAGATATTATTTATTAGCTAAAAAAAACAATCTTCAATTTTGTTTCAATAATGTTGCAATAAATTTTAATTTACCTGAAGATGCTCTAAAATTCTTATCAACAAGTAAACACGCTTTGTCAGCAGAAAAAAGTTGTAAAGAAAATATTGTAACACATCAGAAGTGTTATAAAATAGAGAATATTTTGGAAAACACTGAGGAGACGCAATACCTAATACCAAAAAACTTGTTGCAAAAGAGAGCTTGGTTATTAGATATAAGGACACGACAAAGTAATGGTTCTTGCTGCTTTACGAAAGCCTATGGTCATTATGTAGAAGGTACAGGATCTGTATATTGTCCATTTTCGGAAGAAAAAATCAAAGAAACATTTTTAGAAGCAAGTAAATACAATCAAGAATCGCTAGAAAGATCAGAAACTCTAGAAAAATTAAGATTACGATATTTTACACCTAGAGAAGTGTGCAGATTAATGTGCTTTCCAGAAAATTTCACATTTCCAGAGCATATAACACGTAAACAGAAATATAGATTATTAGGTAATTCAATTAATGTACATGTAGTTAGCAGGCTAATATTTTTATTACATATTGAGAAATAAATGATATAACTTATTTATAAATGTCTGTTTCATCGTTTTTGAAATATATATATTTTTTATCCAATACTCATTTATCATATAATGTCTAATATCTCAGTAAAAATACTTGTAGAATATGATAAATATATTTCATAACTGATTATCAAATATAAAAACGATCAACTTTTAACAGAAGTAAAAAGCATTCATACACATATATTACACAATATTACATATTAGCAATGATATCATTCTTTTTGCATCTTACATTTGTAATGTACCATTTCCTCTGTATTCCAAACATTTAGAGATACTAATAATCTACTTTTAGATTCTGTAACTTTCACACAATATTGTTTGAAATCCAATTCTTTTTGTTTTTTATCCATGCAATACTGGCATGTTTTAATTACTTTACATTGTTTCCAATTCAGGTGGAATGTGAATCTTTTTCTCTGCTGCAAATTTCTTCAATGCTTGATACTTAGAATGCCAAGATTCTATTTCTTCCCTCATGCGATTATTATCTTCTTGCATAGCTTCCATATCACGGTATTCCTGAGTTTTTTCTGATTCCAACTCATCCTTCTGTTCTATTCTTTTGATGCGACAACTAGCTGCATATCCTCTGTTTTTTAATGTGCGTCTGCGTTGCTTCATACGAACTATTTCTTCTCTTGAAAGCCCACGTAGTTTTAATTGTCTGTTCAGATCTCTGACTGATATTGTGACCAGTTCATCGTCGCTAATATCTAGACAAGGGCCAGGCGATAGTGGATCCTATAAATAAAAGTTGTAAACTCGCTTTTATTGAAATTTCATTTAAAAAAAATTATATTCTTCTCAATTCGATTAACCAAAAACGGAATGCAATTATTATTCTAAGTAAATATCTTATGATGCAGCCAATTAAATAAAAAACATTTTAATTTATATATATATTTATGTAAGTTATTGGTATATACTTCGTAACTATCCATTATTTTCGATGTGAATTGTAATTGACAGTTAAGCTTTTAATGCGTCCGGTTTGTAGTATCTTTCAAAAAGATATGCAACGTATCGCCGTATCGGTGAAAACAGTGATGATAGTGTTTATGGCGGAGGGGGCAATAACGTACCATTTTTATAGACCGCTTCCCTTCCATGAAGCTTTTCCCCGATAGAATTTTTCAAGTTCCTACGTCAAGTAACCACCGAAACTTGGATTTTCTTCTACCTTTCACACTTTCAGGAAAAATTTGCTTAGTCATTGTAGAATCACACCAGTCAGTTCGCCATTAGCCTCACGAGGTGCCTTTCTAAAAACATTGCCTGTTTCTTCCTCAAACAATTCAACATAACCTTGTATGAATTAATTTATTTATCATTTCATTGAACGTATACATGGGACTAATTAACTATTGTAATCTTAGTGCTAGCTTTTATCGTATCTGTAATTATCAATGTTGAACGATTTAATTAAATATTTCAAGCTTTAGTATGTTTCTACTTTAAGTAAGAGATTTTTCAATAGATGGCTACTAAGATATAACATTTCTCGCTAGTTATCCATCTATCAATGGTTTGTATATAAGCATTGTGCATGAATCGTCTGAAAATGTTTACGAGGTGGCATGAAAGTACCGTTTAAGGTGCAATTGTGTCGTTGTTGACCTAACCCAGACCTAACTAAGGTTAATGAAATCTCTGAAGAGTACTGGTTATTTCGCCCTTCACCCAGTCTAAAAATATGTCCAAGGGTATTCTCGTAAACTTTATTTTAATGACGTATTTGATATAATATATCAAAATATATATTATATATTTTATTATAATTGTTGATTTGAACACTAATAATTGATTGATATTAAGTTTTTTTAAATAATTAAAAATTTCGGAAAATGTTGCGCCATCCCTTGGCGAACCGCTTAAGTTTGTAGTGAAATAGTTCTCACCTCGTGCCGCTAGGTGAGGTGACTCTACTTTTCTCTGCATATAAATGTTACGTTACAGCATAATTAACATAATTCAACATCTAATTGTTGGTTTGTACTTTAATAATTGTCTAAAGCCTAGTTTTTTTAATAAATACAAATACCGAAAATTGTGGCGCTATCTAGCGACGTGAAGTAGGAACTATTTCATGACAAACTTTGGCGGTTCGCCGTGAAATTTTTGTCTGTTTGTTTATTGAATTAAAGTGCGTACATTCGGAGTAGTACATTGCACTACTATGCGATGCTCTCTTTTTACATTTTCTCTTTTAAACGTTTTACATTAATGCTTCTTAGTTTCTATTCTTACTGGCTATCCTTCTTATAACTAACCGCAATAAAGAAAGACATGATAATAAACTTTTTAATTTGTAAGTCGAGGTTGTCCGAGGTTGGGACCGAAGGCTCATTGTATTTATCGAGGAAATAATTCGCGAAATTTTTAGTTATTCAAATCAATAGATATAAAAATATACGACAGAAAAATTTCTCACGATTAATGCTGAACATGCGAGAAAACATCGTCTTCATTTAAGACAATTATTTAATATATTTTTACGTGGAATGACAAGAGAATTCAATTAATGCAAACAAAAAATATGCATCCATTTAAAAAAATTAATGCAGCGATCAAATGCACATGCACTATTGCATTTATGAAAGAAGTATGATCTTACAAATATAGTACTCGGTAAACCATTTATCTTTTCCATTTTTCATTTTTCTTTAAAGACACTGATGACGGATTTTACGAATATTTAAAATGTCACTTTTCGTTCTTCTACATTTGTAAAATCATCTTTTAAATTTATTTTACTGGAATGTTTATGATTAATTGTCAACAGTAAGTATAAGAATACATAGTTTATTTTATCGTTATTATTAAAAGATTATAAATTAATGTTATTTGATCATTTTAATATATTTTCTCCATGAATATTTTAGAGTACAGTTTCGAGTAAGTGTGTATGTACTATGTTAGACCATGTGTAGGATGTATTATTTCAATCGATTCACGTGCATATATGTAGTTGAAATTAGTTTAACATTGATTAAGTACAAGTTATTATGTTTACCTTGCTTCGTAAAACGTACTTTTATGATTTCCTCTGAAAAAATAATGACGATACAAATCAAGTTTGAATGCGAATATTTTTGTAATATCACTGACAAATTTGTAATAAAATGGACATACGATATTTATCGAATACAAACAATATGTAATGCGTATATTGCGATTGAAATGTATGAAAAATTCATCCATTTTCGCGTTATCGAATTTTCGTTCGCCGCGTTCGTGGTCCAATGCTATTGTCATTTAATCCACCCATACTGTATAACGTTTATATTGAATTTCAAACGGACACATGCCAACGAGTATATCGCTTGATTCTATTGGTTTAAGTAATTTTCCAGTGAAAATCTACTGATTCAATGTTGGAACGTACAAGGTGGTTTATTTCAAATTGATCACATTTCGCCCTTGCAATTAATCCATGAAAAAGTGTTCCAAGCTAAAATGGAATGCTTTACAACGGTTATCCTTCCAAATAATAAAAAAAACTTTAATATCTCTCTAAATGAACACTTTTCATCACATACGAACATATAAGTGAAATTGTTGAAGAAAGTATTACTCAAAAATATTAAATACCTTGAATAAACTGAATAAGATTGGAAAAGGTTGCGAAGCTATTTTTCTGGAACATTTTTTTATAACTAATCAGAGCAACAAAGATAACGAAAATTCCCATATTCAACGAAGAACTTTGTACGAAACAAAAAGGAGTATTTCGTATTAGTCGATTGCGCATCGAGTTCGTTGTTATGGATGAAAGAACTTCGCTATTCACTGTTCGAAGGAAGATGGGTAACAGTGTCGCGTTGATGTTTACCAACTTGTTTTTCCATTCCAGGGTCCAGAAATGGCTATTATCTCCAATCAGAAACTCAATAGCCAGGAAAGTGGCAGAAATGGAGGAAGATTGAAGGAAGAAGAGGAGCAGCACTACGAGTGACAGGAAGCGAGGACAGAAAAGTACGTGTCAGACGAAAATATAAGCTGGCACGAAAAAACAAGTTCGATGATCTATCTGTGAACGAAATTGGAAGTATATAAATTGTTTGGTACAATTAAGGGATCACGTTTCTGGCATGCGTCAAACATTGGCGATATTTTCACTTTGCTTCTAATCAATGATACTACGAGGGTCGTTCAAGTACAAACCGGATTTTTTTTATAGAGCTTTATTGAGGATAGGTAAAAATACAAATGGATTGGCTTCTTTTTCTACGTAGGTTCTTTCAACAGAAATATGTAAAAGTACAGTTAAACTTGTGAATCGCTTTGAAGGAAAAGGAGAGACTTTTTTGGACCATTATCGCGACCAGTAACGAAATATGGCACTATCACTATAGAAAAACCACTCAGAAAACAACAGACTGAGTATAGGGTGGAGGAAAGTTAAAGATAGAGCACTGATCAAGGTCAAGACTCGACTGTCAGCCAGGAAAGTTGTTCTGGCAACTGTGATTTGGGACTTAAACGGTGGATTCCTGATTGACTACCTACGTAGTCGAAGGACAGTGACTACCACTTCAGTACTTTCGCCTCGTGGATGATGCCAAGACTGCTTATCGCAGCAAACGACGCCAGCAATTAATTCGCGGTGTCTTTCTTCTGAAGGACAACGCACGACCGCATGTAGCAACTTTATTATAAACTCACTAAAATACTAAAATTCCATGTGACTACCATATGGGTGGTACACTGAACGAGACGTTACGAGGGGAGAAACATTTATTCAATTTTATGCAATAGTTCTGAGAAAAAAGTATTGAAAATATGCTTTTTGTTGTACGTTCACAGTGAAATGCTCCCTTAAGGGGTGTGTATCAATACGGAGGATGTATCAATACTCCATTTTTTCAAATTTTCCTCCTTATTACACCACAAAAAAAGAAACGTTTTAAATCCGTTATTGTGTTCTAATCTCAAAACCATACAAAAATGGAGCTGCCTCCTTATTGCAGCACACCCCTCAATTAGTTACTGGAGCAGCCAACTGCTTTTATCCCTACGGGGATTAGAAAGCTTCCTATCTGACGAAGAAAAGTACGTAGAAAAATAAAGCACTCCATTTATATTCGTCCCTATAACCAATAAAGTTGTGTAAAAAAAATTCCGGTTTGTATTTAAATGACCTTCGTATTTAAGGATCTTCTCATAAAGAGCTTCTCGTAGCTTGTTCAAGTAGATAATGACTTAATTAATGGATACCGTGAGTAATAGTAAATTGTCCTGAATATACAGTGTAATGTTTCCGAGGTTATCATAGAGCTATCGACACCACTATTACCTGTTATTTCCATATTTAATATATTCATATGAACACAAGATGAAGAGATTACGGATATCAGATATCATTCACTTCTCTCATAGATTGTCACGAAATTGTATTCATCGTTGTGAGCTATACTTCAATGTATAACACACTCACGCAAGCTTGAGGGATGATAGTGATTAAACGTTGGCATACTTGTCTCACAGGTTGTCGAAGATCTATCGTTGTTACTGTCGGCTGTAATACTACATGTTTGAGGGACACTTGAAGTACCCAAATATTTAAACAGCGAAAAAGATCAGAGATAGATAGATTAAAAAAAAAAAACAATCTTCAGATTCAGATGTGAACAAAGAGAACTATAATATATACTGGCTGAAAGACGAACAAAGGATACGCAGAATATGCGAAAAGGACGGCGGAACAATTCTACATTTAATAAGAGAATTCGAAGGGGTAGGAAACACAGAAATGGAAGTAGAGGCAAGTTTAGTCGAAGAAGGTACATACATACCTGAATCAAGTGGATAAGAATGATGCTAGAGGCAAGAAGAAGAGCAAAGAGAATAAGAGGAACCCCTCTTTGAAGCTCTTTCCACGTAACGCAACATTGAATTTAATTTGAAATTTGTCCCATTGCATTTCATCGGAACAGTATTTTACCAGTGTCTGAAAATATTCGACGTGGACTGGCTACGATAATTTATTTATCCATCCAAGTGACGATAAATGCTTCGTAGCAGCGTCTTAGAATTCAAAGCTGAAGCTCTTCAGCTGGATTTGCCTATGAAAGGGAGCCATTCAAACCGAGACGATTTCCAACCCGTTGTAATTAGATAGTTTGTAGCTTCAGTCCGAGTCCTACGAATTGGCGATAATTAAGCGCCTGATATCGTTGTAATATGCTTAACGTTCGCGTTAATTCGATCCAATTTGCCCGAGTATAATCGCTTTCACTTTGCCGCGATACTTGCGTGGCTTAATTATCGTTGATCGATCGTGCCCCTTGTTTCTTGAAAGATATATTGTAAGTTGATTTAATCCTCGTATAGGGCAGAATAACGAGACTAGTTTTCACCCTCTATGGGTCGAATTTTTTTTCTGTAGACAATTTGCAAGGCATTTACTTTGATACATTCAAA